ACTGGGTTTAATAGCTTATAACCTGGAACGTGTTCATTCCCAGAGGCAGTCTTAGAAGCATAAATAGTATCCCATCCTTTCTTTGGTTCCCCTCTCCTACTCCTTCCTCATCTCCTTTCCTTGCAAGCCTCCCTCCCTCCCTTCCCTTCTAACAGACAGTCATTTAATTCTGATTGATTACTTGCCAGGTAATGTCCGAGGAGGTGTAGAAAACAAGGGGTGAACACAGATTACAATCTTAATTGGGGAGACAAATAATTAACTGCCAGTTGCTGGCCAAACACCTCTCTTTGTTCTTTCAAGGCCAAGTCTATGCCTGGCCTTCCCTTGCTAGGCGCACGCAGAAAAGCCCTAAGCAGCATTCCTTGGTGGTCTATGAAATGCTATGATCCTTTGCAAGGAAGTGTTAGGGACCAGGACAGTGACATTATTAGGAAACCGTTTGCAACCTTATAGTTACCATAGCACACAGCTATACCAAGAACTTGCAGCCGCCTCCCCTGGAGGCATTTTAGAGACAGATGGAGTTAGATGATGAAATCTCCTGCAATACAGAGGTGAACTGTGGGAGAATGAAAAGATTTCTGCTCCAGAGAACTGGAGTAATTTTGGTTGGTTATTGGACTTACTATGGGATGGGTACATCATTGTGCAAAGTCTCAGAGCCCGGGGATAGTTGCCAGATCCACCATGCTCAGTGCATAAGCCTCTTGAGCTGCATGGTGAAGCTTCGTCTATTAAAAATTAGTTCACGGGCTGGAGAGATGGCTCAGTGGTTAAGAACACTGGTTGTTTTTGCAGAAGACCCAGCACCCACATGGCAGCTAACAACTGTTTGTAACTCCAGTCCCAGGTGATCCGACAGCCTCTTCTGACCTCTGTGGGCATTGCATGGCACGGGTGCACTTACCTACAGGCAGGCAATACATGCATATACATAATATAAATATAATAAATAAAAAAATAATAGGGGATTTTTATTTTTCTGCCTGGCATAGTTCATTTATGTCTTGTGACCTTGATGAGGAGACGTTGAAGATACATTTATTAACCACAAATATGGAAAGCTTTGAAATACTAAAGAAAAATTCCATCCAGTCCAACTTGAACAAATGAGTTTATTGGTGTTACCTGGAGAGCAGAGGTGATGCTCAGACAACTGTATCACCAGAAATTTCTAAGCCTAGTGAGCCTTTTCCTCCATATGTGGCATGCAGTTGGCATAAGGTAGTCTTGATTGGGTTTTCAGCTGAGGGGTTCATCACAGTCGTGAGGGAATATTGATATCCCAATTACCATTAGATAATGCCACAGACCCAGATGTCTGCTTCATTTAATTGACATGACAGTAGTTCAACGTCTCCTGAAGATCACCAGAGCTTTTATGTTTTAAGATGATGATCATTTCAAGCCAGAGGAATAGCTAGACTACAATTTAACATAATGCCCTTCACACCTTTCCACATCACATGAGTGATGGAGCTTTCATGTATTTTAATGGGTGAATAGTATTCAGTTGTTTATATGCCACTTTTTAAATTCTTTGTTGGTGAATGCTGTGTCAATTACCTATCCTAGCTTTGGTGAACAT